TCCTGTTCCCTCTAATTAGTTGGGCTTATCCATACCTTAAAATTATGTCCCTTAATATTTTGGGGCCCCAGCCCCATTGAGAATGTGTTGGAAGCTATGACCCTCTCCTGCACACATGTACATACACATCTGGGAGACATTTAAGAATGCCGAGGGTTAGAAATTATCCTTACATGCGGTCTCTTCTTGTCTGCCTCTTTGCCTGCCCGCAGCCCACGTGATACCCAAATGCTGCCTTCTCTGTCAAATCCTATCAGCTCTGGTTCTTCTGGAAATTCTTCCCAATCTTCCCAGCCACAGCGGCCTCACCAGCGTCTGTGACGCTCATGGACTCTGTGCCACACGATCCCATCCGTGATGTGTTGTTTTCTTGTCCTGCTGTTTGGGGTGCCGCACTTTGATGACGTGTCCTCCTTGAAGGCAATTTTAGAATTTATTTTTCTGTTAAGGCAAATGATTTAGTGCTTGAACATAGTAGACCCCTCCAAACACGTGACTGTGGAATGCATGGTGAAAGTGTGAGGGGATAATGTCAGGAGAAGGGCGTGACGTCACGCGTGTGGCAGATGGGCCGGCCGTGCGCTTCCTTCTCTTGTGGGTTTTATCAACGTTTTCATCTCTTTCCTTTCTATCTACTGATCTGTTAATTGTCCACCAACCTTCTTCTCTCCTTTGAACAGTCCCTGGGACTTACCAGCTCAAATGGAGGAATGAGGTCAGGTAATCATCGGCAAGCACATTTCATTGGTTTAAAGGACAAACATAGACGTTTGTAATGGGGAGTTATCAACATAACTCTTTACTGGGGAGCCTTCTAGATGCTTCTGCAATCCCCATAGGTTGTAAAACATGCCTCATAGGGCTTGTCTCCATGGTCCTTCTCGGGGTCCCGGGAGGGGGACCCCACTCCCCACTGTCTGTGACACTGCAGGTGGGCCAGGCACCTTGCCGCCTCCCACTGCATAGCGCTTTGTGTCCCTGGCAACTCTGCAAGGAGAGCATGACCTTGACCCACCTGTGCGTCCCACTTCACCAACTGTACCTGGAGCCTCGTCTTAAAATCTCATCAAGTCCCCAGACTGCTTCTTGTTTTTTATTTTAATATGGAATGCTTCGTAAATTTGCTTGTCACCCTTGTGCAAGGACCACTATAACCTCTGTATTGTTCAAATTTTAGTAGATGGGCGGCTGAAACCTGCACTGCCCAAATCACTCAGCTTTCTGGCTTTGGCTGCCTTTTACGTTCAGTTCTCAGGATCCATTCTCTCCACAATCCTCATCTTCTACCACCTTCCTCTCAGGTGCTGTGGTCGAAATTCTCCCCTTCTCCCTTGGAAAAATGTAAGCGTTGATGACAGCTAATTTCAGTGATTGCTGAGTCAAGCCACATTTCCTTCTGTGTTTTACGTAGATTCAACTATATTGTCTCAAACTATTTGAAGTGAGTGCCATCATTTTCCCTTATTTCACAGTGAGATAAAGCAGACATGGAGATGTTAGGGTATTTGCCTCAAATCTCCTAGCCAGGAAGTGGTGGGGCTGAATTATAAACCCGGCTGGCTGGCTTCAGTTTGCAAGCTCCTAGCTACTGGCGACATGCCTCTTGCGATTACTGACCTGAGTCACATTAGCACATTCCTGGGCCCCAGCACACAGCCCCCAATTTAGATTTAGTTCTCTATATTGTTTACAATCTCCTACTGATAACTTCAGACTCATATTTCATTTTTATCTCCCGACCCCTCGGACTACTTTGAGAACAGAAGGTTAGTGAACAGGAGAGAGAACCGGGAGGGTTTCCTTTGTGGACAGTGTCTCCTGAATGTGGGTCTCAGTCCTGGACCCTTTACATTGTTCCGTGGCTTGGAGAACATCAGTGTAGCCCCTCATAAAACTTCAGTTACGTTCCCTGAAGCTGGTAGATGTCACCACAGGAAAGCTGTGGAACCCAGACACATCAGAGAAGCTGGAGTCAGTGCTCGGGAAGTAACTGGTGCAGGTGTAAGTTTCATAGACAGGGCGGTGACAGAGCAGGGCTGGGGCATCTTGAGTTCTGCCCGAGAAGACTGCCTGGGAGCACACTCGGACTCCTAGGACCCCACGGCTGTGCAGCTTATCTCTGGGGAATCCGGGATGGGAGAGCAGAGGTGAAGCAGAACCTCTGCCTCTCAGAGGAGTGGTAGGTGCAGGAGTGAAGCTTCCAGACAGCACTCAAAGGACCCGTGAAAAAGAGTTAGTTTTCCTCATTTTCTAGGTCCCGGGAGGATATAGCCACCCACACAAGAAAACTGCCCTTTCTCTTCTCCTTTTCCTTGGCAGCCCCTCTCTTCAACTTTTATGGGGTGTAGAGTAGCAGGGAGGTGGTGAGCGAGAAACAGGACGGGAGCCAAGGACGCCCGTCTCTGAGGACAGCTGCCCACCTGACCTAAGGTGGGGCTGGGACGCAGCAGAAGTCTGAACTTGAGTAAGGACTGAAGTACTGACCAGTGTCTTTTTTTTTTTTTTATGATTTTTTATTAAATCATAGCTGTGTACATTAATGCAATCGACCAGTGTCTTGACCAGATATTCTCAGTAACCGAATGGAGATTGTGTTTTACAAGTCGGTAGGACCGGAGGGCGACTGGAATAAAATGGAAAGTTACATTTCTCAACGATTTTTCATTTTATCCTTCTGAATAAGTTTGAATAAGGCAAGAAGGGACAAAAGTTCAATGTGATTTTTAAATTTGATGACTTATACTTGTCTAATTGAATGGCCGCACTTTGAAAATGTTCTTCAGTTATTAATAGTGACTTCATGAATCATTTCTTCTCCATTTCTCAGACCAGATGAATTCTGTCAATGTCTTTCATAGATCAGGGCAAGCTGAAAGCCTGTTGAACTTGGAAAGTCAAGGATTTTCTAATCTGCTTGCCAAAGTTATCACAAGCCTCGAGTCTGGGGGCTGAAGAGTCTGTGTCAAGGAAACATTTTCTCTGCTCCAAGATGTTTGGCCTGAGACTTTGAGAGGGATTATCTTGTAGGGGTTTGGGGGGAGTCACCTAAATGAACTGGAAGTTTTCTTTCAATGCCGAGACTTTTTCATTCCCCACGGGCGAGGATGGGAAATGGGAGCGGTGACTGAATCACACTGATGGTGACGGACAGGTAGCATGAGAGCCACTCCAGCAGCTATTTGTGGTGATTCCTGTTGCACAAACCACCTCTCTTGGCTATTTCTTGGGTAAATCTCCCCAGTCGCACTTGGAAAGACAAACAGTATTAAAACTAAAGAAAGTTCCACAGCTGACTCCACGGCGTTCAAATTATCACCCAACAAAATTGCCATCTGCAGCCAAAGGACACCTTGTCACAGTGTCAGAGCAAGTGTGGCATCCTGGGGAAGAAGACCAGCCTGTCTAGACACGTCGGAACATCTCTCGTGCCCAATTAAACAGTCCCCTTCAACGGCCGGCGCTGAGTGAACGGTTTGCTTGTTTATTAATTGCTTGTGGGACACACCTTCAAAGGGCCGTCATGTACTTCATCTCCTTCTGTGGATTCATGGAAGCTGGAGGTCCAGGGGGTGGTAGAGATCAAATAATCCACTTCTATAAGTTTCCAGAAGAGAAAAACTGAAGGTCAAAAAGATAAAGCGTGGAGGCCGAGCAGTGAGTTGCCGACAATGACAGCAGTGGGACCCAGGCTTCTGACATCTGTCCGGAGCCCTTTCAGCCGTGCCAGTTGGCCTGTTATGCACACAGACAACGTGGCCGCCCCGGCAGTGCTTCTGGGCAGGCTTGTGGTTACAATTGCTTTCTGCACACTTGACTGTCTTATTTATTAACTTCCCCCCATTACCGCTGTATACTTTTGGGCTGTCGGTCTGGCTGATTTAAACATTTAAATAATGGTTAGGTGAGGTAGCTCACACCTGAGCAGGTGGACCACCTGAACTTGGGATTTTGAGACCAGCCTGAGCAAGAGTAGTACCCCTGTGTCTTTGGAGCCCTCCGTCTTCCTCTCCCACTGATCAAAGCTCACCCTGAGTAGAAGCTCTCTGCTCATTCCCCCCTCTTTGGTACTGTGCTATCTGGCTGCTTGCTGACTGACCAGATCTCACTCCCCCATAGGGTTTGTCAGAGTCCAGACCAGAGGAACCCAGTACATATGGAGCCCTGCCCAGAAGAGGGGAAGAAGGGGTGATGGAGGGAATCTCAGGAGCTGAATACCCAGTTTGCATTTCACACAGCAGTTCTTCCCCCCAAATCTAATTTGGCCACATCATAAATAGGATTTCCCCTCCATCTTTCCTCAAGGACCTTCTCCACCTGGCCACGGTCTCTATCCACCTTCTCAGCCCTTTCCTTTGGGAGCACAGCATCCTCCCTCCTCATCCCGTAAACAGCAGTTTCCCCACTTCTCTGATGCTGTGGAACATGATAACTTCCTCCCACGCAGGGTTGCGTGGCCTCAGGGGGAAGAGTAGGGTCTGTTCCCTAAGCAAGTCTGTTCTCTTTAAGAAAAATTAAAAAGTAGACTTTTAAACACATTCTCCGGCTGCTTCCCCCCTTCTCTCCCTTTCTCCGCCATCGTGGGGCATCTGATTAATCCCTTCTATTGTCTTGTCTTCTCACAAGACTTACAGAATCCAGCTATTTCTGGCCAAAAAACAAAAACAAAATCATCCCATTCCCCAGTGGATTCGAATGAAAACTGTTAATAAAACGGGCACACCTTGAAGAGGGGCCACTGGAGAAGAACCCCGCTGGGTCCGTAAGGAATCACACGTGAGGTGCGCAGATTGATGCTGTATCCTGCTCCCCATCATCTCACCCCATCGAGCATCATGGTCACTGTCATCTCACCACACCAAGCTGAAGATGTCACCATTGGACAGTTGGCCACGTTTCGTTGGGAAAATGAGTTTTCTCTTTTCTATATGCTCTTCACTAATAAGCTGGTGCAGTAATAAATATGTGAGACCTTTTGCTAGAAAAAAAAAAAAGAGAAAAAGAGAAAGAAAAAGGTTAGCCATTAAGAAAATACACGTGTCCCCTCTTCATCCTCCAAGTGACCTACCCCAGGCTAGTTACCTTTACTTTGGAAATTTCTCTCCTTTCCCACAATTACACAGATAGAAATAACTTCAAGTTGCGGAGCCACTTTGAGCCACAGATTTCGGGAGAAAGATTTGAGATTGGAATTACGTTCCAACCTAACCTTCCTCTTAATGAACACACGTTTGGAACGAGTGGCCAGTTGAGGGGTTGTGTAAACGAAATTGAAATATCAGGGTAGGCAAGGAAAACACGGCAGCCCGAAGCAGAAAGCAGGGAGCGTTTCTGCAGGGAGAGCATAAATCAAGGGCTGCTTTTTTCCCTTTTATGAGAGGCCACCCGGATGGAGAGAGTGCCGGCCCCGCCATGGTGTTGTGAAAAACAACAATGGAGCCTGCAGGATGTCATAATCCAAACACCGTCTCCAGTGGGAAGGAGGGCTGCCTCCAAGCCGTCCTCACACCCTGCCCGGGCCCCTCGCTGTCCCCTCTTCCCTCCCCACGGTCCCCTCTGCCGCTGTCTTCACATGATCTGGGCAGAGCCTGGATGGACCTGAGCACCTGGCTGAACCATAAACATGCAGGACTGTGGTGGTCCTGTCAGCCCCAGCTCTTTGTAAAATAACCGCGGATCTACAGCCCGGGCTGGAATTGATTTCCCAGACTAGCCCACGTCTTCACATCGACAGGCATTGAAAGTCTGCCTAACACTATCCTTCCCCCACGGTTGTAAGGTCTTAAGTAGCCAGGAGTTGCGGGGCACACATTTCAGCCTTGCCCCTGGAGTCAGTTACAAATCAAACACTGTGCTCACAAACTCTTACATTTTGAAAAGAACACTTTGCAGTGATTAAACATTTATGCACGGCACGCACTTGTGATTTGGATGATTTATTTGGACTTTATAACTTATAGTAAAATATAAATTCCTTCCCAGAGTGACATTTATAAACACACATATGTACATATATAAAATATATTTATACGTAATTTCTTTTCCCTGTATGTGGGGAAACCAAAATTCTGGATGAAAAAAATGCATCTATTTTCCTTTTAAAAAAAAATTCTAGTGGTCTCTATAAATCTAGGAAGCCCCTTCTTGGCCCACTAGCCTCTTTCAATAGAAACATGTTTTCACTGGGATTTCCACATTTATAATTATT